TTTTTTATAAAAAAAGTATAAAAGTACAAGGCTGACGGGTGAATTTAATATCAAAGGCCATCCACTGAACCACCTTGAATGACGCAGTCCACCCGCCAGCACATGGTGTATGTCGTACTCAAAAAGAGACGCAAAGATTCTTTGTGAGGTCTCTGAACCTCTCATCGAGACCGGATTTGCATTCCCTCAGAGTAGAAGAGCCTTTAAACACAATCCCAGACCATCACAGCATAGGCCCATATCATTGGAAACGACGATGGCAATCATAGACTCCGAAGCTATCACCTCACTCAACAGGCCAATGAATCCAGGAGCAAGGTAGGGAAATAGTTCAAATGCTTTACAGAGTGGCCCGAGATGAGCGAAGAGGAAAAAGCTACGGCGGACCCATGGAAAAATGTAAAATCAACACTGGTCACCCACATACGACGCCCAACTGGAAGCGATAAAAAAGGAAGTCGATGATATTGAGCAAGACATCGACAACAAATTCAAAGAAATAAAAAGAATCTCCAGGACGGCATAGCAAAAATAAGAGACACCATCGAAAAAAAGGAAATCATCAGAGGCACAGATCCAGCAGCTTGTAAAAATCCAGGCATACAGAGTCAAACAAACGGACAAGGCAAGAAACGTTAAGAACCGCAGATTCAGACTAAGACTCAGTAAGTACGGTAAAAATAGGAGTCTTCCACCCAAAAAAAGTCGCCAAGAAAGATCCGCAAGCCCCAAGAGGGTCAATGACAGAATGGAACTCCTCGCGCTTTCAAACAAACTTGAGACCTTCAACGATTACGACGAAAGAACTTACAGGACGATTCTTGGAGCGTCACTTTGATGAATGCTTCACAATAAACATGCTATGTAAGTTACGGTAAATCCTCTAGACTAGACCGAGGAGTGGAAACTTCGGGGATAACGAAATTGCTCAGGAAGTTAGGAATTTCTCCTCCCGCACAAGATTTTAGCTGCAGGATGTCACGCTTCGTGACGGAAAAAGTGGTCTAAATTTTCGAGGACGAGCTGTTTGCACTATCAGTATATCATTATCTAAGAATAAAAACCTTCCTATGTGTTCTCTTCTAATTCGGGGAGGAGACACTCCTGTCAAAACCTGTGCATTTCACCCTCTTCCACATCTATTCGAAGAAACCCACATACGTGTAAACAATCACATAAACATGTTACTTGCTTTGTTGTGTTTGCTTTTACAATCAATAATAAATCATAATCATAATATATGTACCTGTTGAGTACAACTTAAACGTGTTAGTAACAAGGTGAACGTGGCATAGCTCCAACATCTTATAATTAGGGACATAGGATCAAACTCTAGAACAAAGAACTAAGAAAACTACGCTATAATACAATTACCCAGCATCCAATAAATCGCGCCGTATCGATTTTATCCTAAGGTTTTGGCGAAGTGCCAGCTGGCGCCGGGCTGCTCGGCAGCCACATCTCTCCTTGCCGCGTCGAGGTGTCCTTCGCGCTCTTGGTCCTCTTCATGCTTGTGTTTCTACTTGATGGCCGTTCAAAAATGGTGCAGTTGTCACCAGTGATTCGACGTTTCTTTTTCCTTTTTGTAGTGATGAAACTTGAGTCTCTACTTTAAATTTTGGTGCAGTCACAACGACAGTGCAATAGTAGAATGTTCCTTTATATAGCTCATCAAGTATTTAAGTAAAATTACCGATTTCAACATCGTCATGAAGTTGTCGGGCAATCATCGGCACCGATGGAAACACTCGGAGAGCTTCCTTAAGTACCTTCTCGGTATGCTTCAGTTGCAGGAGATCGTCTTGAGTCAGCTCGCGATCTACTGGTCCTAAACTCGGAAATATTGTTCTTCATTTGAATCAGTTTTAACAGCTGAGGATAGACCACAAAATAAATTACCGAAGATATTTACACAAAGAAGGATATAAAAGGTCTCCCCTACGATATTGCCCGTCTTCAAGGATCGATTCATAGGAGCTTGCTCGCTTTTTCAATCTCGCTCTTTTTTGGTTCTAACAACAACAGGGAATTCTTCATACACTTCATTACTCGCGCAACAAGAGCGCTGGGGCCTTGCAAAGATTGCTCCGACGCTGGCTTCCATGTTGTTCGTAGCAGTGAGCGTCAGACGCCAGCTTGCTAAGCTGTCGTCTGCGACCTCTCACGCTATGTGCTTCTTCGCCCATTCTCTATCTCTACCGTGCTCAGCATCTCGTTGCATTATGATTAGCACAAATGTTTCTCCCTTTGAGACTAATAAAAACATTAAACGTACCTATCACCTCCTTGACCTCTTGGAAGAGCTTTTCTTGTTCTTCAGGATAGTTGCCTAGACAAAACAACGCATACCCGAGAGCACTTGCAACAGTGTCGTGGCCTGAAAGCAAGCTGTTGACAACTGCTGTTGTGTTGTGTCGACCTTCCAATAAGAGCCACAGCGCAATTATGGTGTATGGCTAACCTTCAAACATAAATGTGTCGACTTCTTCTCGGATGTCGTCATCGGTCAGACGGTTTGCCTGCTGCATTTCAAGGAGTAGGTCGAGAAAAGCCGGCTTCTTCTGGGTATCTCTTTCTTCCAACTCGAACACCTTCTTTCTCTTTGCAATCACCTCAAAATAAAACAGTTAGAGATGATCAGACTCCCTTCTGAAAAGCCTTTGACGTTTTCAGGAAGTAGTGACTTTTGAAGCTATGTCTGGTCAATGTGAGCAGGAACCCCTTAAAGTGTGATTTCGAGAAGTGGAGTTGGATTCGGAAGCGAGTGGAGATTGGCTTGAGAGAGAGGAGTGTAAAAAAAGACAAATTTGCTGTTCTAGCAGTCGATTCAACACATATGATATATGCCCCCTTTCGCCGAAGAGCTTTCAGAGCTGAGGTCAAGTGCTCGCGTAGTACCAGGTTCGGCAGCAGTGTGAGCACGATTTACGACAGGAAAGTGAGATTGTAAAGAGTTGGCTGAAGTTCGATAAAAGTGGTAATAGAGGGTCCTGTTTTCGGAAACGTCTTCGATTTGTGGCTCCCTGGTGTAGCCTGCATGTAAACGGCTTGCAGGACGAACCGGCACAGTGTAGCTTTTCTGCCCTAGCAGGCTGCAAGAGTCAAGCGGCTCAATGGTAGCTCAGCTAAAGACATTACTTGCGCGTACACATGTCATTTCACTTTTTACGTTTTGTATTTATGCTGTCAACTTATCCTGAAGGAATAGACTTTTTATCATTCCTACAAAGGGTGTGATAATATGCATGGGAAAGAAAGTGTTCTTGCTAAACTCATGCAACAATACTGCGAAGCGAACCTCACGAGTGAAGCTTTGCACCGTGTCGAGAGCTTTTTGGAGCCGTTTTGCCTTTCCGGAAACAATCCACAACGGCGTCGGCCACAACCATGGAAGCCGCTCACGATCCCATAAGAGCTCGCAAACCTCCTTCACCGAACGCACATAATTTTTATTCTGACCAGATTGGGCACGAATATTCACACCCATCGCCGATTCTGAACAAACAGCTAGTAACTCAGCTACAGAAAAGGAACCAGAAAGTAGCCAGAAATAAAAGGTGACAAACATGTAAAGCAGCGAAAGCAGCGGACGATGCGATTGCGCGGGCCTAACGCTAAGTAGAAGAAGAAACATGTAAAGCAGTGTGAGAATTTTTGGCGGTGCTAGGTTACTTTGGATGCATTAGTTATCAGGCGCTTCTTGACTCGGCTCCATGAAAAAGCTCACCGGCGGCGCGGACGCGTTCGCGTGTTGGTGACGTCACAGTGGCGTGAGGGAGAGAGCAAGGGTTAGCTCTGCCACCATTACTTTAATACATTAAAAACTCCGAGAGAATATCGTACTTTTGCATCACTGAGTAATAAGTGGAAGTTAGTGGAAGCAGGAGTCCAACTTCTAAGCACGGAGTCAGTTGATCAACTCCAACTTGATTGTGTGCACCTTAGGTTTGGACATGGAGGGCTCGACTCTCTACATTCCGAAAAAAAAACACCAATTTCTTTCAAGAGGATGTTACCTGTACATAACGCGAAAATTTCTCTCGCAGCGTGCCAAAGACACGGCACAGTTGGGACGAGTGTTAGCACCGCTGAGCACAGCTTACCCTTCCTTTGAGCCTGCCGCAGCTGTGACGTCATTTTGACGTCACCAGCAGTGAGCTTTTCTCTTCCCCCTCTTAACTCGGACTTATTTTTCAGACGCTTTGTTCATGCATTACACAACCGAGACCACACATAATTTCCCCTTAACTTTACTTGGTGAC